GATTAGTACATTTTAAGATTTTCATTCTTCATGTGTTAATCCCGAGTACTGCAATTCTGGAGGAAACAAACTGCAAGTGAGGTGCATGGGCGTCAGTGGTAAACGCAAAATTGGGGTGCTTTAGAGGCTGGTATCCATTCCTCACCTGGATGGATGTCTGTAAGGCTGCAAACCTGCATGATGTCATCCTCTGCCCTACCCAGCCATGATTTGCCCCTTTTAAGCCTATTGCCCTTTTTCTTCAAGCATGTGGTGCAAAGGGTGCTTATCTTGAGGTATGCACGAGCCCTCCAGATCTTGATCCTGTAGTTTATGGTAGGGAAGTCATGAAGGTACCTCTCTGCTAAACAAGAGGTGTCCCCAATGCACCCCGGAATAATGCCCATTGCTTTGTTTTGCACCTTCTCAAATCTTTCAGTCTGAGTATGGATGAGTTGATTTGTTTTAAGAACCGACATCACAGCACTTGGGGCATTCCCATAAGTTCTCTGTCCCCATTTTCAGCAGCCAGAGAAGAGTTTCGATACTAATGGTGCCAGTAGCATTCTGATTAAACGTCCGTCTCGCCTTTTCTCTGAGCCCCGAGCGAGCATCTGCCAGAACCTCTCGTCACTCCCGCCTGCATCAATCTCACCAGACTGTGGTGATCCATCTGTTCCTCCGAACTGTATACGCTCTCCCACAAGGTACTAACCCCGTCTGCCCTATCATGATTCGGTATTCCACCAAGTTGTGCAGAGCCAGCCAGTCTGTCCGCCTGTTAATTTCCCAACACACATAAAAAAATCCAGACAATACTCCTCACCCATGTCCTCAGCAGCAAGGCATGCCACTCTGCATGAAGCACGTCTATCCTGATCTGGTAATCTGGTAATCTGGTAATCCTAGTTTCAGCATCATAGCAAACGGGTCACCCCATTTTTGCTCCGCTCCTGTGCCAACGAAAAACACTCGTAGCTCACAGTGTCACACCATGCACTCAACTCAGAAGCTGGGTGACGAAACTATCTATCCTGATAGATATCCTATCCTGATCTTCATCAGCCTGCTTTCTGAGTCAGTTACAATCACGATGTGTGTGTGTGTGTGTGTGTATGTGTGTGTCGTTCTCTAACCAGTGGAAAGCTGCAGTGACCGGCTCCACCTCCATTCTCAAGCTGGGTGTTGTGGTATCAAATGCTAGGCTCTCCTGCACCATACGTCGACCAATAACTTTTGCTATGAAACCCTAAGCACTTCTTTTTCCTCTTGACACTGAACCGTCTGTGTAAACGATCAAATCTTCTGAGCGAGCACTGTCTTGAATTAATTGCTAAATTTCCACCTCTGTGGCACCTGCTTGCCAGTCTCTGCATTCCTAGCTCAGTGTGATTGTGACATTACAAACGTCTTGACTGACTGTTCAGGTGGCACTTTGATTAACGGTGTTGTTTGACTAGGGTTAATATTGACAAATTGTTGATTATGAACGGTTTTTGTGGTAACTGCGATCATGGTCACAATATTCGATGGGAGAAAGTACAAGTCCCTGGAACAGAATCAGTCTATGCTCAGTGTTAACGGTGGCCATGACCCTAACTGCTGACAGCCCTTTGCGTGCTTTTGTAATAACATGTTCTTTGAAGGAGAGGACCATGAGTGTATCAAGTGCATTTACCTAGAGCTCACACATGCGTGCATAACCAGTGACTCTATAAATATGCTTATATTAACAAAAACGCAAGCCATCTTTATCAAGCAAGAATAGATGGTCTCATTAACTTTTTCAGGCCCATGAATTTTGACAAATTTAGCCCAAAATAATTTCCCTTTACAAAAATGACAGAGAGGGTGGTGTACAAGAAAGGCAAAAAGAGAATGTAATATACTTCTAATCCCTATAAAATTAGATTTTTTAAAAAGAGAAATGAATGCACATTTTGAATCTAATGATAAGTGCATGTTTAATTTGTTTATAGTTAAAAGGAAAGAAAAATTCAGCAGGTGTTAATTTCACAACAACATCATTTTACAATCAAATTCTTCACTTAACAAGAGTAGTGAATATCCAAATTTATGAAAAAAAAAACTTTAAAGTTTTCTAACAAATTCCAAACATAAGTTTCTGGGTTAGTTTAGCACTCAGGGGCTCTTAGTTCTTTGAGAGAAAATGTCAGAAAAATGGGCGATTCCGTACACACTACAGTAGAACCTCTCTTAATGAGCACCTCTCATAACGAGCAATTCACATAACGAGCAAAACAAATTGTAACAGAATGACTCGCTTAACGAGCAACGTTTCGCATAACAAGTGGCGAGGAGAGGGAAAGTCCCGGAGTGTGCGCATGTTACATCAGTCTGCGTTTAGCACTTGTTCCAGTAGTACTGTAGTGTCGCTTGTGATCACACATTTTCTCAAATTTGTTTTATATTGGATATATGTACATAAATCCTCCAGGCCTACAAGATGACCTCCCTCAATAATTTAAGTTCATCAAGATCCAGTTTCTGCCTCACAACACCACTCCGTTACTCCAGCCCACGGACCAGCAAGTTATTTCCAACTTTAAGAAGCTCTACACCAAAGCACTTTTCGAGTATTGTTTACAGATGACTAAAGGGACCAACCTCACTCTCAAAGAGTTTTGGAAAAATCACTTCCACATCGTTGCCTGCCTCAAGATGATCTATAAGGCGGGGGAAGGGGTTACCAAGAAAAACCCTAACTTTTGGTTGGAAGAAGCTTTGGCCGGACAGCGTCGAATGGGACTTTGAGGGGTTCAAGACAGTACCTGTGGAACCTTTAGTCAACGAGATTGTGTCTTTGGCCACTATCATGGGATTGGAGGTGGGTAACAGTGATATCGAAGAGCTTGCGGAAGAGCTGACCACCGAAGAGCTTATGGAGTTGCATTATGTTTCACAGCAAGAAGTTTAGGAGGAAAGTCTGTCAGAGGAGGAGGAGGTAACAGAAAAGCAACAATCTTCTGGCAAAATAGGAGAAATGTTGAAAGCATGGGAAACTGTTGCATCTTACATTGAGAAGCATCACCATAATAAGGAAGTGGCTATGCACGCTGCAAATTTATTTAATGATAATGCTTTGTCGCATTTATTTCCAATTTTGAAGCGTCGGCAAAAACAAATGTCTCTATTTATCTTTCTAGTAAAAAATAAGTATCTATGTGTCATAACTATTTCGACCTTTTTGCTTTGTTTTTTTGCAAACCGAATTCTCATTCCAGTTGGATTCATTCCGCGTTTGAAGATGCAGATGATTCATTCTCCTTAACAACATGTATAGAATTTTCTTTGAATAAACGTTATACATAGCATATTGTGAGTAGTTTTTTCGACATGGAACACATTATCGTATTTTACATTAATTTATATGAGAAAAATTGTTTCGCATAACGAGTATGATTCTGGAACGAATTATGCTCATTAAGCGAGGTTCCACTGTATTTACTTTGTAGTTATATACAGACTGTAGCTGCAATTATTTTAATGTAGCTTAGCGATAGTATAGTACTGTCTCTTTGTTTATAGCACTTTCCTTCTCATACACCATAAATATGGTTGCAATGGGACATTGTCTAGGTAAACTTATCAGAATCGCTAGATTTCCAACAGCTGATCGCTCAGCTTCACAGGTGAAAATTCACTGTCCGAATCACTTTTGCAAAAATCTAAATTTTCATTATCAGTATCAGAATTAAAAACATCTGTCTAAAACAATTTCAGAGCTTCAGTTGTAGGATAGTATCAATCAAGTCATATTTGTCTTTGGTTTCTGTGTGTAGCTGATGAACCCGATAAGCTGCTCTTTTACATACAGACTGTTTGTATTTTTTTTTTTTATGAAGAAGAAATGTGTACATTAGGGTGTGTGACTAATAGTTTGTCAAGCCATATAAAACAAATCTGAGATTACCCCATATTCCTACTTGAACACTTTAACCATACAAGGCCATACAAAGATAAGGTAATTTTCTATTTTGAACTTCAGGCAGTGTAGAATGATAAACACTGTGACTGACCCAGTAATGCAGTTGACAGCTACATCAAAGTTGCTGCGGCAGCTTCTATCACTATCTTCATACCTGAGGGTGTATTCCTGTCGGCCCCATTTTGCATACAACATATGCATGCACACACACACATAAAGAATAACTGCAAAAAAACAAAACATGAATCAAAATAAAACATACAGATTTATTTATCTCTTCCGTTTACTTTTTCCCCAAACAATTAGCAAAGAAGATACCTGTTTTTATTTGTGAACACATCTGGTTGAGTTGAGGTAAGACAACACATGACAGTTTATCTCTAATCTGTTATCACATACAGCTACTAACAATGATATCACAATGTGCATATCACGGTACAGATAATCAAACCCAGTAGAAAACTACAGTACACCCAAGAGAGACAGAAAACATTACAGACTGCAAATTCTAAGAAATAAAAATGATCTTGAACTCAAGCCAGTTGAAACTCGAGTTGTCTCAAGCACTTCTCTGTATCAAACTCTCTGGAGTATGTACCATATATCTGGGGCATCAGAGGCCTAAGGGTTATGAATGTATTTTCACAATGCTGACATAACTGGGTCTGAAGTTTTTGACAGGCAGTTTTGTAGCTTTCTTCTTTGCACTGACTTTATCAAAGGTATTAGCATCATGCATTTCAGAAATAATGGCAAACTACTCAATGTCAAATTGCCCAGTCAAACCATACAAGCATCAATAGTTGGTAGGGGCTGGTTTGTGATGTCCTGAAAAGTTGACAGCTGAGCTTAAACTCAATACAGCTGACTCTTTAGAGTTAACCTTTGTACCTAATACAATATAAACAAAACAGCCAATGAGGCTGCAGACATTACACACTTGATCCCACTGCAGTCTATACCATAAGAAATATACATTGATATCAAAATGATCAGCTAGACAGTGTACACTGACTCTAGAACACTTGCCCTGACAACTGACATGAAACATCCAATGCTGCATCATCCACTATCACTCGGAGGGAAGGGAGAAAGGGTTGTCTACAGTGCTGAAATCTAAATCTTTGTACACATCAGTGCCCGACTCTAACACCTGTAACTTGATTGTTGCTCCCTCTTCGTCGCATGTTCCAGACTGTCCTGGACTCAGCAGCAGATCGTCACAGTTGGAGACTGTGATCTTGATCTTGCTCCCTTTGTTGATGAGCTGCCTCTCATGAGCCATTGCTAGCTGGGTGACCACTCTCCTCTCTACCTGCAGCACAAATAGAATGTGAATGTTTAGATCAACAGTGCATCAGTGTAAACCAAAGTGGCTGTCTTCACACATTCACACAAAAATAGTTGTGTTTGTAGTTATTTACAAACTAACCTCAGCATTTACTGTCTGCTGTGTGTGTTTACTAAGAAACTTTACTTACTTACTTAGTCTATCCTCTTCTACCTTGTGGTGTGGAGGTTTGCCAGAGAGGTCGCCAGAACACTAAGCAATTTTATGTTCCGCAAACTGCCACTGGTTCTGAACGGTACGATGCTTATACTTGTCAAAATTATAGCTACTAGGTCACATGCAGCTGGCTTCGAACCTTGTTATCTCAGAACTGTGAAACTATGTTCACAACTCCTAAGCCATACAACGACATGCAGCTGTGATAGTAGACATGGTTATCCTCATGAAAGGGTGGCAGAAATTATCACCCATATCAGCTGACAACTCACACAAAGAAAAGCAGTCTCTGAACAGAATCAATGATAGGTGTGCTGGCCTTACTAGTTGGTGCAGCAGACCCATGCCATGAAATACAAAATTAAACAAACATTGTCAATATTTATGTCACAGTCCAACAAATACAATATTTTCAGGCTATCATAGCTGGTAGTAATTCAAATCATCCTTGCTACTGTTCTTGTGTGATATCTGCAGCACGGTACCTCAAGGGCTCAGAATACAGAAGAAGAAGAACTATTCCACATGATCAGATCTTGCACACACTCCATGATTATGTAAATATGGAATACTGACTGCATCAGAGTATCAGTGTCGACTGACTCATCTTGAGACATGACACAGCAAGGTCAGTTCTGTAGAGTTTCCATTTTTTATTTTTATACAGGTTCTCTGCGTACTTTATTTGTTAAATTTTGTCTTTTGTAACAATATCAACAGAATTTACCACGTATTTGATAGAAAGGATTCCATTATTTCAAAAATAAACGCACACAAGAATCATACCTCATATTTAATAGAACGGGCTCCATAGTGGGTATCAAACCCTTCAGCCAACACATCTACAACTTTATGATCCCACATCAGTTCAATGTCATGTTTGCTTTTTGCCTGCAACCAGATTAAATGAAGCAAGATTTTGTTATTACCATGTTATGACACTAATATTTTAATACATAACTGTCTTCTTCAATTTCTGTGATTGAGCCATATCTTAGTGTAACAGGAATGCCATGATGAATGTGCAAGTTGATCACTGATCACTATTATGTATATGTGTGTGGCAATGTCAAATGTCTCTCATCTTCCAATAGAGCATAAGCTACAATATAAGTCATATTAAGACCTTTTGAAGTAAAAGACACCACAGAAATACAGTATGACGTTAACACAATCTACGCAACTAGCAACAGATAGGAAACACCATCTATATCCTATCTGCAATGCTTTATGGCATAAGCAATCGGATAAAGGAAGAAGTCATACTGATGACTGGTCGGGTTCTGCACTTAAAGGATTCTGTGAGATGAGGAAGTCATCTCTGAAATCAAACATAGCAGCAGAGCCACTAATCTGGGCATCCAATATTGGTCCCAGTACACTACATGGTCAAATGGCTGTTTTAGTTCTTGTTAGAGTTTTTTCTGTTTACACTGTCATAGACTGTCAATTCATTATTGTTATCAGTCTAGGATAGATTCTGCAAGTCTATCTCCTTTACAGTTGTTGACCAAGAACATGAAAAATACTGACTTTCATCACAGTCTGAAAAGCGAGTGAGACTACCTCATAAACAGTATAGCTTCCTGCAAATATTAAATGCCATAATGGTTCAGACAGAATAGCAATGGAGGGTATGGCACCTGAAGGAAAAGGTAGGGGTTGACCAGCACATTGGTGGTTAAAGGATATGAAGAACACCCTGGGCATGAATGTTCATGAGTCGGGAAAGCTGGCTGTGGACCAAGTGGCCTTTTTTTTTTAGCATGTGATGAGTTGAGCTGAGTTAAGAATTGACATCACAGCACGGGGGGCATTCCCATATGCGCTCCATCCCCATCCTCAGCAGCCAGTGCAGAGTTCCAATACTAATGGTGCCAGTCGTAGTCTGGTGGTATGTCCATCTTGCCTTTCCTCTGAGAGTAGTATGCCGGGCAAACTCTATGGTCACACCCAGGTGCATCATTCTCTCCAGCCCATAATAATCTAGTTTTTCTTCTGACTTCGTTACTTGTTACACATTTGCCTTGTCATGTATCAATTCACCACACAGTGTTGCAGATCCAGCCCATCTGTCTGCCTGTTCATTACCCACCACGCCGGCATGGCCTGGAGAAAAGATCCAAAGTATGCTCACTACCTGTGACCTTGCAAGTGAAGATTGCCACTCTACTTGAAGCAATCCTGTCTTCACCTTTTTCAGCATGCTTTCTGAGTCTGTTACAATTACAACATATAGTTCTCGCTACCTTCTCCATGTGTTTTTGGACCTACCTTTATTCCTATTCCCCTGTGGGTTCCAATGCAAAGACATTCAAGTTATATTGTTTTCCAGTTTTCTCATTGTGTGTCCTATCCAACGCCAGCGTCTTTTCTTCACCTCTTGGTCCACTGGAGCTTGCTTAGTTCTCTCCCAAAGCTCTACATTAGTTATCCTATCATACCATAAATTCCCTCTATTCTGCGCAGGCACCAGTTAATGAATGTTTGTAGTTTATTAGTAATTGCCTTAGTTGTTCTCCATGTTTCCGCCCGATACAAAAGTACTTCTTTGACGTTGGAATTAAAAACTTAAAGTTTAGTATTTCTTTTAATTTCTTTTGACCTCCACAGATTCCCTAGTGCTATGAAAGCTCCTCTTGCCTTTTGTATTCTTATGGTTTATAACCGTGTGCAATGACGCTGGTTCACATCTCCCGACTTTACCTTTTTTTTTACACTGATCAATCAATCAATCAATCAATCCTCATCATGCTGAGAGGCATATTAGGCAGAGGCAAACTGTCATCACTCAGTTCGATCCTGAGCCATCCTCTCTATCTCCAGTTTTGTCCTTTGCGTGGCCTACAGGTACCTCTGAGCCTGCCTCTTCCTCGCTGTTCTTGTGGTCTCCATTGAATTGCCTGTCTCTCTTTCTTCATTCTGAGCATGTGTCCAATCCACCTCCATCTTCATGGTATTTATGTAATTCAAGCCATTTGTCTTGTACTTTAAGCATCATGCATCCATTTCACAGACCACATTTTGCTTGTAAGTGCTATTTTTACGAAAATCCCTGAGGACTGTTCCTGGGGCAATGAAGTTTGTGCTCTGTGCAATGCTCTCAGTTGATTATTAGCCATTCTGCACAAAGGCTAAAAAATACTGGATAAAACCCAGAGCAATGAAGTTGATCTTCTTGACTTTTAATCTTTATTTATTCAAAAAGTATGGAAAGATGAATGTTTATGCTAAAAATTATATTTATTAATTGTGAACTACAAAACTGAGCTCACCCTCTTAGCCCAAAACTGAAGTTCTTTTGTGACAAGCTTGGTGAGCTCTGACGGGGAAAATGGCAGGAAATAAACAATTTCATTGATTCTGCCCAAGAACTCATCACGACGAAATTTGCGCTGGAAGTAAAAGCAAGTCCAATACAGTTACATAAACACTGACACTTTATCAAAGTCAGGAAATTGTTCATTAAATCTTTTGATTCAGCTTGACATATATTAACCTGAGCTACAGGGTCACATACACTGGTCCTGAAGGGTGACAAATTATCAACATGTTAAAACATTTGACAATGCAATACTGAATAAACTAGCTTTAAAACTAGAAAGAACACAACCTGAAATACTCAGCTGTCCATCAGAAATCAACAAACAAACATCAGTGTTTTAAAGAATAATAAATTTACTGAAACTTAATCTCACCAGAGAAGAGAGTAAAAGCTTTTAGCTACAGACAAACTCTCTCAGTTCAACCTGGACTAGAAGCTGACTATAGCACTGTTTTTGATCAACAGTTAGGTCTGATGCAGAATCTAGTACAGGTATTACGACTGATACAAAACAATTTTCTATTTCTAGATCAACTCTCAGTCATATTTCACCAACAGTTATAAAAACTGTTACCTTTAATATAGGTCGGACAACCTGGTCTTTAAATGTTTTTGAAATTGTTACTTTTTCTGTCTGCTCCAAGTCCTCTGAAACAAGATAAATTCTGGGATTAAAATATTGGCAAAAATATTTAACTGCTAGAAATATAAGGTGTTAGTATATTGTGCTATCTGTACAAATTCCCATACAAACGCCAACATGTACATACAGTTCTACCATGTCTGTAAACTTCAACAAGCTTCTGTCTCTGTTCCTAACTAATACAGCATTTTTCTTCCTGAATGTGGCCACTTTAATGTTACTTGGTCAATTTAGCTGCTTTCACATTTCATATATTACAAATTTAATATTGTCAATGGAAGTGAGTTCTAAGCAGTTCATTAAGAGAATTTGGAAATGAATCATAAACAGATTAGTGAATAAGTGCTCATTATAATATGTTTTATTTTAACAAAAGAAAAACTTTGGGAAGTAAAAATAATAATGAACATTTCTTGAAAGAACCAGCATAGAGAACTGGTTTTTTTTACATCACTCATTCATTCTATTTTGCTGGCAGTCTATTTTGCTATTATATGTCACATAGTCTATTTCTAGATTACGATGTTAAATCAGAATCCAATTTATTTTTTGATATTTTTCATATGATGGGGACAAGAGGAAGATAATATCACATGAAGGAGTATAGTGGTAATTAAAATGACAACAAAACATTTGCAGAGGGAAAGATGAATGACATCATGTCATGAAGAAATACTGTACTGGAAATGATTGGCAACAAATAAAGAGGCTGTGGACAAATCAAATGATCAATGACAACACAAAAAACTTAATAGTAATCAGACATCAGCTGTACTCATAATATGACATGGATCTAATGTGGAATGGTGCAGAGGACACACAATTCTAATATTTTTTTACTTTGGCAAGTTTAAAAACTCTAAATACTGGCAAGCTTGTCTACTTTAGAAATTTTAAAACCTACCCAAACACTGGCAATCTGTTCTGATATCCTTGTAAAATTACATGTACTCATTTTATATTAAAAAAAAAATAATAATAATAAAAAATAAAAGAGAATCCAACAAGCTTAAATTCACATTTCGTTGTAGAAAGTTAGAAAACTCAAACTTAGCAAAGTTAGAAAACTCAAACCTAAGCTATCTGCTCCTCTCATTTTTGTCATTCTGCTTGCTTCTTGTCTCAGCTGCAAGGCATGCTCTGCAATTTCTTCACTTGCCAAATTGGAAGTCATGATAAAGATAGCATCTTTGCATTCTACAGTTTTGCCCTTGCCATCAGTCAAGCGTCCCTGAAGAAGACAAAAATCAACAGCTGACTGAAAATTGAGTGCACAATCCCCTGGTGATATGGACTTAAGTTAATTCTTCTGTCTCTTTTAATTTCAACAATGTACTCCCATTTATACTTAGCCTACATATTCCATCAATGAAAATGAAATGAATAAGACATATCTTCATAATATGATCAGTTGTAAGTTTTGCCAGGTATTTTTCACAACTAAAAATAGAACAGAAACCATTCAGTTTTTACCCATTTTATTCATTTTTGCATAGGACTGTAAAATGAAACTTAGTACTTATTAGCTGTTCTGCAGTTTTTCTTGGAAATTTTAACTCCAGAATTTCACAGAATTGTGAAACTGCCTTCACAACTCCAGAGCTACAGATGCTAGGTCTGAGCAGTACACATTCCTGTGGAAACCGAGTTGTAAGGTTGAGTGAAGGATACAGCACCAGTCTTCACAGAGGCTGGTGGCCTTCTCATCTGAAAACCAATGGCAGGAAGCATGAAAAGAAGATGATGCTGTCTTTTATGAAATAGTAAATGTCAAATGCACATGGCAGACAATTTTCAAGTTTAAAAACAAACTATGCATCATAATCAATATGACTCTGGCTTAAGACTAATTATATTTTACTTAAAAAATGCATGCATTTTCAAAACATCTGACCTCATCGAACAGTTGTAACATAATAGTCAGCACATCAGGGTGAGCCTTGTCCACTTCATCAAATAAAACCACAGCATTAGGACACTTGGTCAAAGCTTTTGTCAGCTGGCCACCTTCATCATGTCCTACATATCCAGGAGGCGATCCAATGAATTTGGCAACCTGGTAACAATACAGACAACAGTCAGAGCAGACCAAATAATCAACATCCACATTAGTGATTCAGTCATCATTTCATTTCATCACCTTTTGGTCTTTCCAGACGATAGTGTTATATTGCGCTATGAGGAGGCATGAGACTCACAGCCCATGGCGATGGCGAGTGTGACTAGCAAGACCTGCCCGTGTCAAGAAAAGTCTTCCACAATGATAGCATGGGATTTCAGGACCATTGTTGTCAACATTTGTGTTTAACCCATTTCTTTTAAGACGCTCAGCTCTCATCCTTTCTGCAATCATCTATTCTTTCAGTCTCATTCCCTTCCTGATATGCCCTTTCCACACAACACGGTCCATTGCATTTTGTTCCCACGAGTCCGCCTCAATACCTGTATCATTCATATCCCGCTTGTCAAGACCGATTAAGGCCAGGGATGAAGTTCCTCCTCTCTATAGCATAAATCCTGGGCAGTATTGGAGAGACCATATGTTGCCCATGCACAATGATCCCTCCCTCGACCTGCCTTGTTTACTCCAAAGGAAAGGTAAAACCAGTACGTTTGGAACAAGGCAGGTTGCAGAAGCTGCCGGATCAGAAGAGCAGTGCTCTATCTGTCCGGCGTGTCAGAGCTTCCCTCCTAGACCAGCTGCCAGCCAAGGCGATGGGCCTGGTCTGCCCTGCCATAACACAAAGTTTTCAGGTTGCATTTCCTCTTCCTAGGATAAGGCTAGTATCCTCCCCAATGCACTCCTCCGTCCGAAGCCGCTGGCACAACACAATATGGGATGTTGGGTTAGTATACGCTGCCCAACATTCGGCGTTAACAGAAGACAGGTGGTACTGGCAACTGTTATACCGTTGCTCAGTCATATCTGACAAAGACCTGGCGCTATGATTTCAGTATATGGAGTCTAATTTTGTCTTACAACGGTATATTAAGACTTCTCAAGTATTCATGTAGGAATATTGTAAGCCAATGTTTTATTACAAATAAGAGAAACTTGTTATAAAGTGTCCATCATAAGGGACAATTTAAAAATTCAGGCAGGATAGAGTTAATAAATAAAGTACTGCACAAAATCTTTCTTTGAGTACCATTCAACTCATCAAATGTTTACTTTATAGGTGGTATACACGTCATAATTCCTCTGTCCCATGCTTATGTTAATTCATTTTAGTATAATTGTTACCTCAACTCCAACAATCATATATTTGTAATACTTTGACTGCATCAGGTTGAAAGATTCGTACTCTAAAGTAAACAATTTGTAGACAGAAAATGTTTAGGTAACATCCGTTTGCCAACCAGAGAGATGAATGGAGGCAGGCGATATCTACAGCAATGAACCTCAAGGGCTCGAAATGCTAAAGAAGAAGAAGAATCTGTTTCATAGTGAAAGAGTTCAGGGACACCTAAAACAGAATTAGAGGATAAAGTAAAAAAGACAGGACAGACGTGGGGTGAGCTGCATGTGATGGCAATGAACAGGATAACCTGACGGGTACTGGCTGAAAGTTTGACTCCATTGGGATTTAAGAGGGAGGTGTAAGAGAGAGTAAGAGAGAGAGAGAGAGAGTAAAGAGAGAGAGAGAGAGAGAGAGAGAGAGAGAGAGAGAGAGAGAGAAAGATTTTGATTTGAAACAACAAAAAGTTTGAATAATATTTAATAATTTGCATACAAGAGAGAGGTAGAGATAGAGGAGAGAGAGAGAGAAAAAGAGAGAGAAAGAGAGAGAGAGAGAGAGAGAGAGAGAGAGAGAGAGAGAGAGAGAGAGAGAGAGAGAGAGAGAGAGAGAGAGAGAGAGAGAGAGAGAGAGAGAGAGAGATTTGAAAAAAAAAAAGTTTGAATAATATTTAATGAGTTGCATACAAGAACAACCATTTAATTAGTTTAACTGTTATTACGGAATACGAAGACTGAAAGTTAAACTATACTAGCTATAGCTACATCTGTTACATTACAGGGAAGTCTTAGAAAGTACAATTATGCTAGTTATATATTATCCCATGGCAGAGGACTGGAATGGAACAAAGCCAGACAAAAAAAAACTGCTGATAGGGAAGTCATGCCATCTCTCTGGCAAACCTCAAGTTAGAAGAGGGTAGACTAAGTAAGTAAGTAATATACTAGACTGAATTCTTAGTCAAATATAACTGTTGTTATATTACAATAAATACTTGCAACAGAAGGTACAACTGTACCAGTTATATTACAATGAATACTTGCAACAGAAGGTACAACTGTACCAGTTATATTACTATCCGGTGTGGAAAAGTGGTCAGGCTAAAGGTCACAGGTTTTGTGTTTTGGACAGCAATGTTCAGTTCACAAATGTAATTATCTCATGAGATCCCAGGAGACAGCAGCCATCAAGTTCATGTTTTGTGTGATGCTCTCAATAGTGGTTGCCGAGAGCTATATAAGTAGTGGTTTAGGTTTTAACTTCACAACTATTGGGTCACCTCCTAATTTCTCTGTTCCGGTGTCAGTGAAAGATCCTATGCAAATCTCCTCAATGTCCCATCTAACAAAAATGGTGGACAAACAATTAGTCTCAGAAATATCCAGAAGCATGTACATGCAGCAACTGCGTAAGGTTAGAGACGTTAGAAACGCCATAACCAACAGGCACCACCAAAATCGCAATTTGTTGATAGAAGTAAGAAGCCAGTCTTGATAGACTGACCGTACAAACATAAATTTATTGCATAAGGCATTTTGCCAGCCCAAATGTAAATTGGCTACCTGCCATTTTCTGAATTTTACAATCTAATCACTGCAAGCACAAAAGAAAGGAAATCCAAACAAAATACACAGCTCACATTGCTGCACCAAGTAATTATTGCAGCAGTGGAGACAGCCAAGGTGTAGACTACAGTCCATACGTAAAAGCTGCATCAGCAAACCATTGCAAGAATATTTTTTTAAACATAACTTCAAAGCTAACCGGACTGCTTTACACTTATCAGCTTAACCGGACTGCTTTACACTTATCAGCTTAACCGGACTGCTTTACACTTACTTATCAGCTTAACCGGACTGCCTTACCCTTACTTATCAGCTTAACCGGACTGTCTTACCTTTACATGTCAGCTCTGTCTCACTTGTACACATTAATATGTTTTTATGTTTTGTGGCAGGATACATATCTAAACAGAATGCAATTCTCACCATACTTGCCATAACTAATCTTTTTTTATTCTATCTACAGCAGCCCTGATAAAATTCTTAAAATTTTCTGAGATTCCATGACATAAATACAACACGTAAACTGTAAATTAATGATCTTCTTGTAAATCCATTCCTAAAAAGCTAATCAGTTATATAATTTAAACATTCCCTTTCTCTGACAGAAAATGTAGAATTGGAACTAGTTCAACAGTCTACTCCTATTCCTCAAGTGTCAGTGCTGACAATATGATGTGTAGATATATGAGGTCAAGTATGAGGCTTCAAGTCAAACTCACTCACTGATAAAAGATGCTTACCTCATGCTTCTCTTGATACTCAGACATGTCGATACGAATAAAAGCCTGCAAAAAAAACATACCAGAAAGAAGCATATACTTTGAATACAGATACTAATCAAAAAATAATTTACTACAAATATTTCCATCCATGTGTTACCAGAGCCCCAGTTCTACTCAGCCTAAAATATTACTTGTTGTCTGCATTCAAGTAAAAACTTGACATCCTGGCATATCAGTCTAACCCACTCATGCTCTGTCCTCCAATGGAGCAGTCATCTCACTGTCACACACCAAGTCCATGTGACTTGAAAAATTCGCCCACACGTCCATACACTTAAACTGACCGAAAGCAACTGACTTAACTCAAACTACCACAGGATTTTCCCCACCTGTGGCCAATTCCGCATGGATATCACTCTCTGGACAAAACCCAGGGTTGACAACCCACCCGTGCTGTCGGTCCACACGGATTCCACAATATCCCTGATGGAACTTGGTGACTTGCCTGCAAGCCAGTCACGAATTTCAAGCAACATGTCTTCCACAACTCTCAAGTGGCTCACACTTCACTCTCTTCCAGGATCCCAAAATGTTTACTTCACAACCCATCAACACAGTATGAAAGTCTGTGTGTGCTTCACAAAGCCCTGGCTTCATTAACTCTTTACACAGCAAAGTGAATTTAGCACACAACAAAGATATCTCACAGTTTGATTTAACCGAAGTGGAGCACTAGAAGCATGCCTCAGTTTTCCTTAGTAAGACTATTATGTGACTCCTGTGCCTTTTCTGTACTTGTTTCACTTATACAAATTTGCTTTGACCATCCCTCACTTCATACGTGCCTCAGTAATCAGCCAAGAACAAATATGGAGGAGTCAAGAATAACATAATCCATTATATCTAGTGTAGTTGGTTAAACCTAACTTTGCGGCGACCGGGTGACGAACTCCTTGTGGTCCGGGTTCAAGCCTGGGGGTAGGCAGAAAAACCACATTTCTCCCAGATTTACGATATCTATCATGGAATCCAGGCCGAATGGTTGCGATATCCATAGTACTGAGCCAAAGGGTTAACAACTCATGGTTTCTGGATATTAAAAAAAAAAAAATCTAAGTTCTAGAGAATGTGTAGATAAATAAAATTTCCTTCTAAGCCTTGTAAAAAACTCCAAGAAAACAAAGCAATATGCTTGACTTGTGTTTGCATGTTTGTAAAGGGTGAAAGAAACATGACTCAAATGGCACCAACAAAGGTTCATACCTCTTTCTTATCTTTATGCAGGTAATGTGATACTTGCTTGGCCAGCTCAGTTTTTCCTGTAATAAAAAACACAAACCCATTTTTAAAAAAAATCTAAACAATTGTTATTTTTACACAATTATTATTACCTTCTATTATGGTCCCTTCACATGCCAGTGGCGTATCTGGCACATGAGGCTAAACAAATATTTTATCTACTAATCAACCCTCGATGGGAGATGTGGTCAACATCCTGCCAACTGCCTTTATTTCCCAGGACTTTTTCTGGTACCCATGTAAGGTTGGTATGACCTGGCAGCCAAGGTCATGTATGAATAAAATAATCCAGCTTCATGCAGATCTGAACCCACTATCTTTGGAACCGCTACATTATGGAAGCTCTCACTTTATATTAAAGGTAGAGGTCCCTCCCTATTCAAGCCATAAGCACAGCAGGCTTTGGCTGGCAGGTTCTGGCACTTGCTGGATGATGCAGCCAATATCATTGTGACCTTTACTTTTCAGGACATTTCCTGGCACCCAGCCTTGTGATCTATATATGACAGATACTGGGTGGTTATGAGCAAAAATGTACCCTAACTCTCTCATCTTGATAAAAGCAGTTTTTCTGGCTTTCACAGGTTTATGGCTGCACACGAAGTCTTCAGAGAGTGCTCAGTAAGCTTGTATAGCAGCTTTGATACTGGCTGCAACTGCATAGTGTGTAGACATGGTGGGTAGGATTATTTAGGGTGGGAGGAAAAACAACACATTTTAAAAAATTTTGGCTTCACTGTGATGTTATATAATTTTATCGTTATGTTTTATTTCTCTCTGTGGCAAAGTGTCTAAACCGACTTTTAAATGCTCGAAAATAATGAAATACGTCAATTCTTACATCAGATAAAGTTCCATTTCACACCAGTACTACACGCAGACTGTTAAGTTAGTTGCTCTTCCCTACAGAAAGTTTAAAAAACCAATGAAAAACACTGTGTTTGACACATGTCTGAATACAGTCATAAGGGTTTTCTTTTCAAGATGTTTAGGTACAACTCATGTTTTCAGACCTAGCAACACCATGATTGGCTGTTCATTGATGCGTCTTAACCTTTCACATGAGAAACTTTCTCTTACAGGGGTGTCAGGCTGCAAAGTCTCCTACACTGTCACTGGCGATATCAAACGTTCCATACTAAACAATGTTAATGCCATTTTTAACTACTTCATAACATCTACAACTGGTGCTTACTCCAACCCCCCTAGGGTATAAGGGGACAGCCTCAGCATAGGCCCCAATAGAGAGTGCATTCTAACTTGACACCCGTTTAAGAGAAAGTTGTAAGTGTGAAAGGTTAAGAAGCATCAATGAACGGCCAATCAAGGTGTCGCTGGGCTCGAAAACGTGAGTAGTTCTAACATTTCCGAATAAGATGCCAGCCAGACTCAGACAGACACATGTCACCTCCAAATAAACTGAGCACAGACTGCAAAAGTCAAGTATTATCTCACCTATTCCTGATGAACCCAAAAACAGGAACACCAGAGGATGGTCTTCATCATACCAACCATTCTGTTTTCGTCGTATTGCTAAAGACAAATGCAACATCACCAGTCAGACAAAATAAGAACATTGCTTCATTACAGAAGATTATGAACGTTCAAGTTCTTGCAAACATCAAACATTAATTATAATCATCATTCATGTTCAACTTTATGATAACTGATGAGAATACTGCTTAGTATCTAAGAAAATGCTGACTAACATGAGAACAGTGGGGTATCCTTTCAAAGAATGCTCATTAATAAGAGAAATCTCGGTCATCGTCTTAGAAAATGTTGGCTAATAAGAGAATTATTGGTATTCTCTTAGAGAATGCTCATTAAAAAGAGAAATCTTGGTCATCTTCTTAGAAAATGTTGACTAACATGAGAACAGTGGGGTATCCTTTCAAAGAATGCTCATTAATAAGAGAAATCTTGGTCATCCTCTTAAAAAATGTTGACTAACAAGAGAATTATTGGTATTTTCTTAGAGAATGCTCCTCAACAAGAGAATTCAATCATCCAAGTGAATGAAAGAAGGCTTCATTAACTCTCTCAGGTTCAAGCAATTTTTATTTTAACAGCGTCAGAAACTTAGACCCAGAAACTTATAAATATTTAGGTCTCAGTGAATTCAAAAGAGACACAATGAGACAACTCATAAATATTTAGGTCTCAGTGAATTCAAAAGAGACACAATGAGACAACTCATAAATATTTAGGTCTCAGTGAATTCAAAAGAGACACAATGAAACAACTCATAAATATTTAGGTCTCAGTGAATTCAAAAGAGACACAGTGAAACAACTCATAAATATTTAGGTCTCAGTGAATTCAAAAGAGACACAATGAGACAACTCTGAAATATTTAGGTCTCAGTGAATTCAAAAGAGACACAATGAAACAACGCATAAATATTTAGGTCTCAGTGAATTCAAAAGAGACACAATGAAACAACGCAGAAATATTTAGGTCTCAGTGAATTCAAAAGAGACACAATAAAACAACTCATAAATATTTAGGTCTCAGTGAATTCAAGAGAGACACAATGAGACAACTCTTAAATATTTAGGTCTCAGTGAATTCAAAAGAGACATAATGAGACAACTCATAAATATTTAGGTTTAAGCAATTCAAACGAGACACAATGAGAAAACTCATAAATATTTAGGTGTCAGTGAATTCAAAAGAGACACAATGAGACAACTCATGAATATTTAGGTTTAAGGAAATTCAAAAGAGACACAATGAGACAACTCATAAATATTTAGGTTTAAGGAAATTCAAAAGAGACACAATGAGACAACTCGTAAATATTTAGGTCTCAGTGAATTTAAAAGAGACAACTCATGAATATTTAGGTTTAAAAGGAAATTCAAAAGAGACACAGTAAGACAACTCATAAATATTTAGGTCTCAGTGAAATCAAAAGAAACACAATGAGACAACTCGTAAATATTTAGGCCTAAGGAAATTCAAACGAGACACAATGAGACAGAGTACCTTAACTAATAACTCATTAAGGGAGATTGAGTTTGCATAATTGATTGATTGTTTCTTTCCTTTGTTACGTTTTCTTATCACATTTGACGTCACTGCACATTGGACATTTCCTGCGTGCTCAGTCTTCCGATGCAGCAGCCACTCCAATGTACTTCTACCAATTATTTCCATGAGAAGCTGACTATAATGTCTCCTATCTCGGCCTCAAAGGCGGCATAGATGTGCTTCCCCATGCTTTACTCCCATGTCATACAATTGTGTTAGTGTCCGAGATTCGTCATTATCCACTAGCCCAGTTGGTACAGCCTTGAAAATATCTGCTCTGTCCTTCTTCCCACATGTATTGGTGCACTGCTTGCCAGTTTTTTCCTTATCCCTATGAACCGTTAAACATAACTGTTGCCAACTTCCCATCTTCTTCTTCTTCACTTCCTCTTTTACGGCTGTGGGTGTCGAGGGAGATATAAGGTTCTGTTTCTAGCTCTTCTGGCTGCCTCGACCATAGGCACATCGTGCTGTTGAAGAGTTTCTCTGATGATATCCTTCCATCTTGTTCTTGGTCTACCCCGTGCTCAACGTCCTTCTTCTTTTTCCATGTATGCTTTGTACGGTATGGTGTCACAAGGCATTCTCTCTAAGTGGGCAAACCATTTCACTAGCTGTCTTTGTATGTAATCCAGAATTGGTTCTGTGCCGACTTGTTCTCTTATGATCTCATTCCTGATCTTATCTCTTATGGTCACTCCTACAGCCCTTCTTAGACATCTCATTTCCGTGGTTACTAATTTTCTTTTATGGTTTGTTGTGAGTGACCATGTCTGGCACTGGTAGCACAGAGTTGGAATAAATATGCTTTGAATAAGATGTCTCTATGTGCTGATTGGGATTGTCTTATGCTGTAAGAGGGGGGGGGGGGTGGGGGGGGGGGGGGGGGGCTAGCTGTCCCAATACTTGGTTTGCTTTACTGCATCTAATGTTAATTTCTTTATCCAATTTCCCATCATCGGTAAATGTAGTTTCCAGATATTTAAACTCAGCTGCCTGTTTAATGCCTTTGTATTCTATTGCTATGTTTAGATCTGTCTTCTTTTTTCCTATTGACATTACTTCTGTCTTTTCAGTGTTGATTCTCATATTATTTGTTTTACATTCTTCATTCATGGATGTTAGATGTTGTTGCAATTTCATGGCTGTATCTGCTATCAAGGCCTGGTCATCTGCAAAGAGTAATTCGTTGATCTTACTAAGATCTTCATTCATGGGCTTGGCATTCTTGCATATACTGTCGATGTAGGTGATAAACAGCAGTGGTGATAAGACACACCCCTGTCTTACTCCAGATGTCACTGTGAAAGGATGAGATGTTCCCTGATTTATTCTAACTACACTTCTACAATCCCTGTATAAACTTTTGCACACTTTGATGAGGTGTTCGCTAACTCCATATCTTGCCATTACTTTCCATAATAATTGTCTGTCGACTCTGTCAAATGCCTTCTCCTGGTCTACGAATGCCACAAGTAAGTTCTTATTGTATTCAATGTGTGATTAATTTACCTAGCATCTGATGTGTTTGTCAAATAGAAGGGCAATTGTTGCCAGCAAATAGAAGATCACTGAGCTGCTCTGGCATGGTCCATAGAATTACATATTTGAGCTCTGTGACATAATACTTGCCATTATCAATGACTATCATGCCCCCCCCCCCCCCCCCATCTCTCTCTGTATGTGTGTGTTGTATATGCTGGCAATGGGAAACAGGCAATTATTTTACTCTATTTAAAAAAAAATTGTTTTAACTGACCCATATCACTTAGACGCATTGTGTCACTGTAGTCAACTATACACAGCTGCTTCAAACTCACACACCTCCTCACTACATGCAACTACTTTACCTGCTGCTACTGTGTTGATTGCTGCCTCTTGTCCAATGATATTCTCTTTTAACCGCAATTCTAGGGGAAACCTTCTTCTCTCTTCTGCTTCCTCCTCATTTTTCTTTTCAACAAACTGATTACAGGAAGACAGAATTCAAATGTTTACATTGATGGACTATTTGAGACACATGCAACAATACACAACTCTATATATATATACACACACACACACATCAAGATAAAAATTAATACATGACAGGGCAGATGTGGTCAGGACCCTTCGGAAACAAGTAGCGAAGTCAGAAGAGAAACTAGATTATTATGGCCTAGAGAGAATGAGGCACCTGGGTGTAATCAGAGGGTCTGGCCGGCTCACTACACTCAGGGGAAAGGCAAGATAGACATATAACAAATTACAAATGGTACCATTAGTACTGGAACTTTGCGCTGGCTGCTGAAGATGAGGACAGAGCACACGTGGGAAAGCCCCGAGTGCTGTGATGTCAATTCTTGACTTAACTCAACTTGTATACACGGGAAACAACAATTTGATTGAGAAAATCTAATCATTAATTCAATGACACTGCACTGTTTTGTCAGGCCCTTGGCGGTGCAGTCCCAACAACATACACTGGTTGTGCCATGCCTAGCCATTGACTATTTCTAGTTTACTTGATCGGAGAACAACTAAAGCAATTACTAATAAACTACACCTTCTCCTTGACTTATGACCTATGTGACTTACAACCAGAAAAAACAAATTTATAAAAAAAGTAAACAAAGACAGTTTACACTGGTGCGGTTAAAACGTTCCCAAAACTGATGCAATAGAGTACATATATTTTTTAATTTTTTTTCTAAATATGTACGATAATTATATGTACATAGATTGAATCTTTGTGTTTTATGATCAATTTCAATAACCCGTCTGATTTAAAATAGTTTTTAAAAATATAAATTCGACTTACAACCTGTAGGTCGGAACAGCAGAAGACAGAAAGACAATTTAGAAATAAATTTAAAAAATGCCATAAGACAAACAGAGGTATTCAGGTATTAGGGAGCAACTTTCACATCGGATGGAAAACTGGACAGAGAAATTAGCTCAAGATGTACCAAAGCTAATCAGGTACTGGGACAACTATCTTCCCTGTTGACACACAAGCAAATACTCCAGAGTACTCAAGTGAATCTTATCAGAACTAATTTTTTGGCCAACACTATGCTAACAGTGTCAAAAGTGGACACTTACACCCTCTAATGAATGTAAAATTGTGACAGCGAGATGAAATGCCTCAGAAGAGGTGCAGGAGTTTCAAGGAAAGACAGAAAATGAAATCACAAAATCAGACGAATGCTAGGAATAAAGCCAGCCTTACAGGTGATCAAAGAAAAACAAATGAAGTGGTTTGGACACATAACACTAAAACGTTACAACAGGAACAGAGCAAGGGGAAGACGACATAAAAGATGGAGTCTGGCATAAAGAACAGCCTCACAGGAATTAACATCAGTCTTATTAGTGCTCTTGACAGAGTTCATCAACAAACGTTACATCCCCCCCCCCCACCCACCCACCCCTGCACACTTCGCTGAAGTACAAGGTGGAAGAGAAGAAGAAAATTAAGAAGATGTCAGAACAGAACTTGGTTGTGAGTCAAGGAGACCATGTACAAACAATCATTTAGTGCTGCATGTGCTGAACAGGGAAATAAAATGACACAAGAGAATCACTTACATGAAGTTTTGGAAAAGAATTACATGCGATCTAGTAAACCAAGGCTTAAGGTGCTAGGCAGGACATACACTGAGACAGTGGAACCTACAGAAGCAAAGAAATAAAGGGAGATTAAAGACACACACGGAGACGAGAAATTAGAAGTGGAAAACAAATGAAGACACCAGACAGCATGGAGTGTGCTGCACAATATCAAAGAACAGGAAGACTTGGTGTGAGTGGGTGGATGGCTTATGCTCCATTGGGGGATGAAGAGCTGAAGAAATTAGAGAATCTACATGTTCTAGGCAGCAGATTTGCATATCATGTATAACATATAATTAACTATGTTTTTGGGGTCAGATGCAGCTCTGTGGTTTAGAGGTTAATGAGCATGTTTCACAAGCCTTGACACACCAGGGTTTGGACAAAGACAATTCTAATGGCTTTTGGGCTGTGATAGGAGAGTTGGAGCATGGATGAGGTTATAGGGCTTCACCGCATAATATTCTTATTGAGAGAAAGATGTTATACACAGCTGCCAACTGTCACTGTGAAGCTGGCACCCTGGAGCTGGCTGTTTATTCAATTCAGTGTCTGTAGTCATGTGGATCAAACAATAAACAGTTTAAAACAAATTATAATAAATGTGATGGCAGTGCAAGTCTAATCTCAATCAATATTTGCCTGCAGCTCACCTTTTTTGTGTAGCTTTCAATGAGACTCTTGGCTTCTCCATCTCGAGAGTATTCTACAGCTCGATGACCCAGAGCATTTTCAATGGTAGGATCTGCACCTGAAATTATTGTAAAGACAGTGTTCTAAATATAAAAAGAAGCCTGATAATTTGATAGTTTTTGTAATAGAAACATGACTTTTTTCACTAAACACAATGCAAAGTGCCAAAGTTGGACAGTTATATCATGTTTTAAATTTCAGCTGCTGTAAAGAAAATGGCCATATACAGGAGTGAGTTGAAGCAAGTGTGCAGTGACCTGGAAAATCGTTTAGACAGATACCATGCAGCCAGAACAGATTACACTCTAGACTGTAATGCAGGAGGCTGCTCCTGAACTGTGTGATTTTTGGTACAAGTTGAAGAAGTATTCAATGACCAAAGTTATGGCATTTAAAACACTGATATTCTGGATTCAAACCCATAATGAATCTGAGCTTTTAAAATAACATTATCTTAGTTTCCAGGTCAACCTCGCCTGAACAAGAAGTAAATAAAAGTCTGGGAAGTAAAGGTGGGCAGTGTGATGCTGACCACATCACCAACGGAGTGCCGACTGATGTATTAAAAATATGGAGCTAGTACAATGTGACTGACGCACTAAAGGTAACTTTTTATTTGTATTGTTTATGCTGTAGAAGAAATCATGAAGAAGTAAATATCCAGACAAGGTCTCAACTGACATCCCACTATTAGCATGTATGTGTAACTGTGCATTCCCTCATTGAGTGAATTCTTTTATGCTGTTTTATGTCTGTGTAGAACTTTACCAAAACAGTTATATTCAGAAGCCTGGATCCAATATATGTCACTCTGGTTGTTACATTATTTGAAGATAATTTTTTTATATCAGCATTCTTCTTCCTCAATCATCCTGCACTTAAAAAAAAAATTTTTCAACATAATTGTGCTACCTGTTTACAACGGTGTCAAAATTTGCATCTTACTGCCAACACAACCAATTTATTCAGGCATTTGATGATTGGGTTGCCTTCCCAAAAAATCTGTATAAATGTTTTTTTAAACACTTAAAGCAAAAAAGGAAGATCCTCTTTCACATTACGCGTTAAAAATCTGTCCAGAGTGCTGCGATGACAGTTCAAACTAATCATACTTATATTTGGTATCCTGCTGAGCAATTCATGAATCTATGCCGATTTCCCAGGAAGGCGAATCCCACCATCAAATACTTGAACATGCTGGATGAGTTTGTTGTAAGGTGTACATTCTGCCATTCAGTTATAAACAGGTACAACACAATTATGTTCACAACACACACAAATACTGGATGACTGAAGTAGAAGATTACTGATTTCAAAAAATGAAACTGAAAAAATGTGTAATAATTCATACTGAGAAATCACAGTATATTATTACAATACTTTCTGATCTGTCATGGCTAACATATCTTCAACTGCTGGAACATGTTTTACTCTAAAGTAAAAATTTTAAAGTTAATTTACCTGCTTCAAGAAGAAGTTTAACTGATTCCAAATCATTGACAAGAACAGCGTAATGCAGAGGTGTACAGTTCTGGAAATTTGCCCGGTTGCTGAGTCGATCTGAGAACTCTTCCTCTCTGGTCAGTAACACTGGGAACACAGAAGATTAACTCTTTGAGTCCCATGGGGTTTAACATCAGAGGGCCAAGGAAAAAAAAAGGGGGGGGGGAGGGAGGAGAGATTGAGATTTTAACTTTTAGTAAGTGCAGCCCATTAAAATAGACCAGACAACTGCAGCTTATGTGCAACATACACATATCATGCATGAAAATGAACAAAAATAGTTCAGGGTTAATATTATTATACTTCTACACAAAAAAATTAGTTTGTTAGTTAATATTCAGTAAAGAAAAAAATGGCTTGGTTTAAATGGTTAGTACATTATAAACAAGTTTTTTCTCCTACTTACCCAAAGGTTGCTCTCAAAATTCTTGATACAGTATATCAAAAATGAACCAAAATGACGGTACGCCACTTATAAGTATGCACAACCAATATTAAAGCAACAAGTGTGATAATTTTTGTTCCATATAAATTTTCAGAAGAGGCAGAGGCAGACCAAGAGAAATGACAGTGGCATGGAGAAATATCATCAGTAGAATTGATAGATGACACCAAAGACTGAGATCCATGGAGATGTGTGAAAGCCTATGCCAGCTGGCAGGAAACTTGATGATGATCTTCAATATAATTATTTTATAATGATAATTTCACTCATGATACACTTTCTGTTTTCTTTCCAGGAGAAAAACATCTGTTGCTCTCAGCAGCTTATAAAGAAATGTGCACATTCTTCTTCTTCTTTTACAGTCTAGGCACTGTAGCATTGGTCGCAATGTATGTCACCAACCTTCTGTCGGATTTACTGTTAATTATTTGTTTACTCAGATGTTCTTCCATGCCAAGATGCCAAAGTGTCCAATATTTTCTCTCTTGGTCTTCTCCTGCCTGTCTTTCCCTCCAACTTTTTCGTTACGAGATACTCTCAATTGTTCTCATGTTTGATGAGTTCAAGGGGTGTGGATCCCCTTTTAATGCAGGCGGTCAGTTCCTTTATTTCATGTGTGAGTTACAAAGATATCTCTATAAGATACATTTGTAGCTGCCTCTCACTATTCAGCTGACCATAATTAACTTCCATACATCAGGACTGACTCTATAAGGCACTTAAGGACTTTCTTTCTCCCCTCATCTGAAAAAGAAATATTGCATAGAGTTTTTGTCATCCTGTAAAATGATACTTTTGCTTAAGCTATTCTAAACTTAATTTCTTGTATACATCTACCATTAGCTGTCAAGCAGGTACTAAAATACCTAAAATTACTATTTCATTGGTGTTACATTTTGGAGGATACCTCTTTTGTAATAGCCATTATATTTGTTTTTCCTCCATTCAAGCTAAGTCTACTGTCTTGAATTGCTGTTGCAGTTATAGCTAATATTTCTGACAAGTCCATTTCAATTTCAGCGATCAAAACCACATCATCAGCAAATCAGAAGTTTACATTATGCCCACCTAATGGTATTTCTGGCAAACCCTGTATGTATCTTATCATTAATGCATTTAACCAGCTGAACTATCTGTGTGATAACCTTCTAATACTTTGTTTAATATGTAGGAAAGTTCAGCAGTGCAACAATATGATTTTAAAAAATAGCTATACAATGAAACAAAATTTGACATAGAGTAGTAACAAACTGAAAGACAAGAATTATATTTCAATACCCACCATGCAAGTTGTTCATCTGTTTTTCTTTGGCCTTCAAAGCAACAGTAGAAAACTCATCAAGACTGTTTGGATCAGCACCATGCGCAAGCAGTATTTCCACCACCCTGCAATTGTACACTCATTGTCTTATTGCAGGTGTTTACAATGATATTTAGGCATTTAGGTCAAACAGACCAGACGGTGACATTTATCAGAATTTTTTACAGAAGTACATCGGTCACACAAAATGACTATAAAATAGTTAAGAGAGAAAAAAAGTAAAGATCCCTTATCACGCCTTTAGGCGTATCGGGTATATAGAAAGAGCGCCCATATTTTTCAGACCATCGGCACTAGGTGGGTAATGCGGTCAGCATTACGCCGTCTGTCTTTACTTCCCCAGGACAGCCATCCTGGTACCCATTTAAGGCTGGGTGGACCTGCGACGCCCCATACTGCGATAAAAATCCACGCAGCCAGCAGTGGGTTTCGATCGCGGTACTTGGGAGTTACGAGTCGGACTCGCAACGCCTTAGCCACGGACGCTGCGACTATAAAATAGGTCATATCAATACAATCAAGAGAAGTACGCACTACGGAACAAGAAGCAAACACGCACACACACAAAAAATAGAGAAAATAATCTTGAAGTGGAAAGTTAAGAAAAGATGGCACTGGCATGAATGGCTGTAACTTGCAGAGCCTCAAAACTAGGAACTTCTGTGGATCTATTTCCTTGGTCATGAGATAGAATGCCTCTATTGGCACATTGGCTTGGAAAAACCATCCAGTAGAGGTACTGCTCTCACACTAAAAAACTGTAATCAAATGTGAGTGTTTGTACACATAAAAAGTTATGTCTCTACATATTAAACTGGTTAACATCACATGGAGAACAGTTTGGCATTATGGAATGGAGGATCCCAAATATGTGCCAGTTCCCCTTGATGTTCAAATCATGCAGAATGTTGATGTTTTTCTTCTTTCTACTTTCTACTCTAAGAATTTTTCTGTAGCATTTCAGTTCAAAGGTTACAATTTCTTATTTGAAGACTAAGTAAGAGTCCTTGACTATAATCCATAAGTTGTCTCAGGAAAGAATATATTATATAAGACTATAAAATGATAAAAAGACATGTAAGAATTAAAGAGCTGATATGCTGCCTTCAAAGACATTTATCACTGGGACAGCAGACAAAAATGTCAACAATAAATGACAGTTTAGTGCATGTCTTTCTTTAAATGTCAACTGCTGGAAAGGAAAACAGTATGTGAGGATTACAGGGACATTTCTAACATGTAGCTGTATAGTATGCAAGCGACATCCTTCAAATTCTGCTGGGTAAACTGATATTGAATGGATCTGAATGCTGTACTGGTGGGGAAAAAATCTGCCAATTCAGACCACTGTCTCAAGAAGAAAGTCCACTAGCCCCTAAGTTACCATGGCTCCTACTCATAATTTAATCAAGTTTAATTAACCAATTAAAAAAACTAAAGAAGATACAAATACAGAACATAAATCTGCCCAGCATGTTCCCAACTCTGAGTCACCTGTGATACACAACATCCACTGCCCCACAAGATTAAGAAAACAAAAAGGCAGCATGTTTAAAAGAGGAAAGTCATGGATGGGTCAAGGATATTATCCAAAAGGTATGGAGTTAGGTTGATGATATGGAACCTAGAGAACTTTCTCTGTGACTCTTTGAACATGCTTAGGAAGGTGTTGATAGGCTGGGCCAGTTAAGATAATGGTACTATTAGCCATCGGACGTTGGGGTTCATACTGAGGGGAGGATCTGAGCCCCTATGGACATGTCCGGAGTGCAATGATGATAACCCAACTAATTAACTAACTAACTAAGTTAAGATAATGAATTAGTTAAGACAACCGAGAATCTGCAACAATGAAAAGACTGCAAAAACAGTGAGTCAAAAGGAATGAGGGCCAGATAAGAGCAAGATGAAGGAAGCCACAGAGTAATAAACCAACAAAGAGCTGCTGTCGCAACTGCCCAGAGCGATATATACAGGAAGGGATCTGCATTTATGGATTGTGCATTAAGGATGATCTGTTAACTTAACTAACCAATGATGCTTCAAACATTAGCTTTGATATGTATTTACACAAAAGTCATTTCATTACTTTGCTTTTTTATTGACAGCAGCGACATGAAGTGCAGTCCAACCAAGCTCATGGCGCTTGTTCACACTGACTCCTGCTTTCAACAACCTGCATACAGACAAGATTTGTATTAACAGTAAGAGGATATGTTGTCAAAACAAACTTAACATCTTTTATTAACACCGTCAAATATTCATTCTGGTAAAAACAAAATCAACTGTTCTCATCATTTCCATGGACTAGTGATCTTCTCTGTTTAAATATTAGGCTGGTTTCTTCATTTGTTTCACTGCCATGAGAATTTGAGTTTCTCACAGACACTGAAGGGTATGTATACTGCACACTCTCAAATTTATATGTAAATCTTACTGTCCTGTCATCTCCTCTCTATTTTTTGGCTTCTCTTTGGGTTTTTCTGCGTGGAAAAGGTGGGGAAAGGGGTAATGAATTATCTCTCACCACTTTCATGAGGCTGGGTTAATTCCAGAACCACCTCAGCTCTTGAAAATACAAATGTATTCACTCACAGCAAACAGTTGTAGCTTTTAAAATTCCTGTCTAAGGTGGTTTAAAATGCAGATACTTGGTGGTTTAGAACTGATGAACATTGGTTCAAATATGGTAAACTGGATGAATAAATTAACATCTGAGACAAGTAAGAGTACTGGGACAGCTAGGCCCCCCACCTCCTTTCCCCCACATCACTTACAATTTAAGACCATCCCAATCAGCATGAGGAAACACCTCATACACAGCATATTCATTCCCACCCTATACTACCAGTGACAGTCATGGTCACTCACAACAAACCATAAACGAAAATTAGTAACCATGCAAATCATATATCTGAAGACTACAGGAGTGACCAGAAGATATAGGAATGAGGTCATAAAAGAACAAGTTAACACAGAATCAATTCTAAATTACATTCAAAGACAGAAAATTAACTAGTTTGCCCAGCTGTAGTGAATGACTTGTGACACCCCCACTATACAAGGCATTCACTAAAAGAGGAGAAGGACATAGAGCATGTGGTAGACCAAGAACAAAATGGGAAAATAACATCAGAGAAACTTTACAGCAGGACAATGTGTCTGTGACTGAGGCAGCCAGAACAACAAGAAACAGAAATTTATATATCTCCCCTGATACCTGGATCGGTAAAAGAGGACGTGAAGAAGAATAAGAACATTGATTATCCAGCAAGCAGGTGATCCATCACTGTTGCTGTTTACTCCAGTGCCTCAGAGTCATTGCCTCCAAGCACGTAGAGCATCGCAGGATAACACAATGTCCTGACCGTCAGCTCCACTTGGTGGTGCCCTAACACACTGAGTTGACGTCTCTGACTTTCATTCTGTGAACATGCTTTGTAATTTTGAATACCTGGTTCAATTCCAGTTGCAGGCAACTTGGCATCACACCGCTTTGCACTGATTCTGACAATGGTATGAAATGCTGACTGTTCAGTAAGCAATAATTCAAATTGCAAAATAAAATGGGGTTGGCTCTGCAACCTCTTGTAAAGGCTATGTAAACACCTTCTTTTTTTTTTTAAATCACAGTGACTACTGATTTCATTTCCACTTTTTGGTGATCCTATTATATGGGACCACTGTTTCTAAAGGAAACTGCATATATTTAACAATCTTATTTTTATAAGTTTATTTTGTGAAAACATTCACTCAATACATGTCATAATTATAAAGTAGGAAATAAATGAATAAAAAAGATACAGATACTACATAAATTAACTAAATTTAAATATAATAAATCAAAATCAAGATACACATACAGAAGAAGCAATGCTTTTTACATATTCTGCGTTGCATGAATCTGGACAGTATGTCAAACGCAAGATGCCTGGATATTATTTGAACGGTGATTATTATTTGAACTGTGATTATTATTTGAACAGTGATTTTTAAAAACGTCAGCAGGTAACAAGTGAGCTTACCTTGACACTTCTGAAACAAGTCCTGATTTACACGCAGATAGAAGTGCTTCGTCTGAGATTAAAAACATATATAGTTGTTACAACAAATACACACACAAATATACATTAAAACCTTCAAATACAGAGTGAATATAAGAATCTGAGAAGCAACCAATACTGATATTAAAAATGCAAACGCATGAACAGAAAAATACAAAAGATAACCCTTTATACACACATATATCTGTAACAGAGTAAGTTCATAGCTTGTTTATTAGAAGGCACAAAGCCGGGATGTAAGGAGACCAAGAAGTTTTGGTAACCTTTATTTTTCCCACCAAAACTGAAAATTGACGTCATTACTTGTTTGTTGAGAGATAGAATTTTGCGTAGTATTTAATTAGAAGAAAGTCAACAAAGTCTTGAAAATAATATTTTGTAAATAGTATTTGACGTCATTGTCGGCCTTGTCCTTTCAGAGAGAACCCAGTAGCACTTGTTTTGTAGGAGTCTATTGACCTCAATTGTCTGTTTAACTTCTATATCTGCGTAAAATAGGATGATAAAATTTGATGCAATCGAGATATTTTTAGAAAACCCTAAGTGAGAACCTACCTAGTAAACAAGTTGAGACGTACTAGAATATTCTAGAAGCAGAAAGAGAGAGAAGAAAACGAATACCTAGCATTCCAGCATCCAAGTATAAATAACGAGTAACAAAGCACCTTAGCAATTCTTCAGTCCACAAGACTGTCGTGGAGTGAACAGCCAACCCTACACTGTGGACTGTTCGTGACGCTGACTTCCCTAAGCGGGCACGTCACATTTCAAATTTAAACCCGTCCGGAGGGGTATATAGTCCCTTATATTGATATATACCTCTATCTGGTGAAATAAACATTTCTAGACCCTCTAGTTGTTTTGAGAAGTCTACATTTTCAAACTTGCAACTGTGGGATGATATTTCTTGAGTATAATTAAGAAATTCCTGTAAGCCTTTTTTTCTCCTTGGGCACGAATACAGGGACTTCTTTCCTAGAGACGCCAAGCTCAGTCTGAGCGGGCATTCTTTTGCCAAACTTCTGAGGTGGCGGAAGACTTTGTATTTCGCTCCTCAACTTTGACGCTTTCAAAGTACCAGTTAATCCTTGAAAAATTCCTAAGCTTATGATGAAATCTTAGAAGTCAGGCAGACGAATCACAGTCCAACCAGCAATCACCAACCCATAACCAGCAAGCACCATCCCATACCATTCCTATCACCAATCCTACCCAAAACCCTTCCTATTGTTGGCAGAACATCAACATGGCAGGAGTTTGTGTGTGAGTTCCAGTGGCTGAGTGACAGTATTGCAGGCCACCTGTGTCATCAATCCAAAGAATCCTTCTTCAGGAGCTTGTGTGTGAGTTGCAGTGGCTGAGTGACAGTATTGCAGGCCACCTGTGTCATCAATCCCAGGAAGTCTTTGTCAGAAGCTGTGTTGGGCTCCAATGTAGTTCCTTTGTCCTCATATGTGAGACGATCAGTGGGTGCCAGATCCACCAGAGAGAAAAGCAATCTATTGAGTCAGCCGGTTCAAGTCACCATGGACTGAGGGGAGCAGAGACCTACCAGTTGGGTTAAGTACATCTAGGATGACCTACATGATCTCTGTCCATGCTCACCTTTAGTTCGCAGTGATGAAATATGTACTGGTTTAAGAACTGACTCTGGCTGTTTCAACATCCTTGCTGTGACATTGAGTCATGAACTCCTTTCACTGGAAACCATCTTGATTGTCTTGATATATTTATATCTAAGTATATATTGAAATATTACATGCATTCTCATAAATTTTCATGGCTGACTTGGGTGTCCCTGTTTCACCATTCTAACTGTCTAGTTTTATGTTTGTGTGATTAATCAGTGAAATCTGTGTTAACATGGCTATGATAGTATACTATCATAACCTGGGGGCTAGCTTTTTATAGTAGTAGGGGGTGTCCAGCCAAGTGTGCCTAGGAATATTAGATATTCTGTAGTGCTAGAGCTTGAGTTGCCCTACTCCTGAAATAAGTTGGGCATATATTGGCCACGGGATCTCCCTTAGACCAATACAAGCCAATGCCTCAACATTATTATTTCAGAGTGCCGTTGAGTCTTAAGGAGAAATCCTTAAATCAGGCACGCGACACGAGCGGTATGTGACAAAGACTCAAGAGAGGAGAGACCAGTCACATTGACTCTCAAGGCAGCCTTCAGTCGTAGAGATGTCAGCTCAACTCAAAGAATGCCTTCAGTCGTTGAGACTCAGAGGACGAGCGACTAGTCTCAATGATCCCGGCAGCAGTGGAGATGCCAACTCAACACTAGAAGAAGAGGAGCCAGTCACATTGAGCCTCGAAGATAGACACTAGAAAAGAGACATGAAACAAGACATCGAGCTACAGAGACGACACACAAGATACATGGATCCATGGTTAACAGCGACACATTAGGTAGGAACTATAGAGATGTTAGAGTCGACGATCAAGCCGTTAGTACCAAACAGCACTAGAAGCCAGGTGGCAGTTACAGACACTAGAACCAGTTAACAAAGTAACTAGAGATGAAGAACACAACGCGAACCTACGAGTGTTTAGCCATAGAGAGAACACAGCGCTATTCAGAATATCATTGATGTATTTGTGACATTGTTGAAGTATCACAATAAAGACAGTATAGACGAGAACTGTTGTTTCCAGCCATTTTATTATACAAGCATCAGAGTCATGTGAGAAGCATGCAGCTAGCAAGACATCATCATCATCATCATAACCACTATTGACACAACCATCTTTCTCCTCGTCTATAATCTTCCAATCGACTCCTCCTGTAGCAAACCTAAAGACGAACCTGGGTGTGACATCAACGTACGCCACAAAGAAGAGAGCTGTGCAACATATCAAACACACATAAATATATATTTACAACTCACAAAACATGGAAAGTCAAGAAAAATTATGAGAAACATTTAAGATATGGTGCTACAGAAGAATGCAAAGAATAAACAGAACAGAAAAACAAGAAATGTGCATCCTGGAAGAAATTCAATATCTAAGATTAACCAACTGTCTCATACCAGAGGAACACCCCTATGCTAGTTGACTTGCCCAGATCTTGTACAGCTCAAGCAATTTAACAAATTTCAAATATGGACTCTTCTTCCATAAGTAAACAGTTCTTTTTTTGGTAAATATGGGTCAAGATGTTGGTAAAAGTACTTGATTCGATCCTAATTCTATTGGGAGAGTTATAATCTAAATTCACTCACAGGTAAATGAATTACATGAGTAGGGAAGCCTTTTTCCAGGGCCGAACTACTGCTTGTTGTGCATCCAGATGTATGTGGTGCTACCAGCCTAAGCCTGAACATGTTTATATTTTGGAACTTTGTTCCTAAAACATTTTAATTTTAAGGGCATCTATCCATATAACACAGTAAGCATCATACTTTCTAGAGGAACATTAAGAATGTTGAGCAGATATATCTCCAGTAATCACTTGGTTCAAGAACTGTCACCTATCAGCATATTCAAACTTGTGAGTGATTAGTTTCTCTATACAGACTGAGGAGAGGAGCGGGTTCATCTCTGCCTATAAGTATTTCCTTTGTGAATTGAGTTTACAGCCACCCAGACACTTAGTGCCCATAGTTACCTTTACCCCGTTACTCAATCAGGGCCATGATGAGCACAACAGCGACTGTTGGCAAACACAGTGTCATTCTTGACTAATGTGGCTCTTTGTTGGATACTGCTGTTCTTTTTGACATTTCTTCACTATTATTCCCTTGAGATTCTTTACAATTGTTTGCAATTATTACATCATGCTTTGTTATATGGAATTTCTGTTGTTGGTGTCTGATGTTTCACAGTTCCCTTTGGTTAAGTTTCTGTATGCATTGTTCTTAGAGTAGATTTCTATTGACACTATTTATTTGACTGGTGTGGAGATCATATCCAGTTTGGGAGTAAAAAGTGGTGAGGAAGTCTGGCCAAGATGTGCCCAGGAATAGTATTAATTCTGTGGAGCCTATAATTTGAGCCGCCTCATCCTTGAAGTGATGCTGGGTGGTTGTTGCAGCTGCAGAGTACCTCCCGACCAAAATGTGCCTGATCTCTTCAGAGTGTTTATTATTATTAGGGCTAACCCTAATACAGACAACATGGTCTCGTGACACAAACTGACTACCATGATCGCACATTACGTGATCAGCGACATTTACGCCTGGCTACCCAATCGCATCCACTGTGATTGTAACTTCACACGCTCACCACCGTGTTAAAATTCTCAACTTCTGCAACCAATTTCACGCCAAATTGTTAGTCCATTCATTTCTCTATGTTTCTTTATGAGAAACAATCAATTGTGCTGAAAGTAATCTTTTAATGACTATTTTTGGTGACTCATTAGATGGATGTTCTGATAACTGCGGATGATCTGCAATCATCAGAGCCATCGTGGTTGGCACAAGTTTGAGGAATATTTATGATGCTATGGTAGATTTTCTTGACTTTTAAAATCGGAAAATGAAGATAAAGATATTTCTGAACAGTATGATAATTCTTGCAAAATGCAATAAAAAAACATCGCTGAAAATGAAAATCGTGGTAGTCTGAGGTTGATGTGTTATGTTACACGAGTTTATCTAAGCTGTTTTCTATATATGCTTCAGGTGTATATTATTAGATATGTCTGTGAGGGTACACTGTGTACATCAGGGCTCTGTGGCTTAGAGTTTAGTGAAAATTGTTTGACAAATGAGTCAAACTGAGTCAGTAATTTCTGGTGCTAAATGGCAAACAGCCACTGAATCTGCAAATGTTACTTCACAGTTAGGCAGAGCTCTCATCCAGGATTATTTCAGGGAAAAAAATAGTTATACTGGTTTTAAATAATGCAGACACAAACAATACATTGCACAATTTATTGTGGGGCATATTTCACTGTATCTCATCAGGTGCATTACTACAGAGTTACATCAACATAAAATAAAGCACAAAACTGAAAAAATCCAATTGAAATGCAAATAGTTTCTTCCGATACATTGTGTGTGTTTATGGCCGCCGGAAGCTCACCAGGGTAACTTCAAATTTAAGATAAATTCCGTCTGCTTACAAAGGAGGGGGTTGTTGATTTTTATTGTTAAAGCTTCAGCGATTCTCAAAAGTCTCCTGTTATTTAAATTCATTACGGAAAAACGTTGTTTTGAATATCTTAAGATTTTTCTGTATCTTTTATTGTTGTTGACCCAATCTACAGCCACATGATGATGTCAAACAAAATGTTGCAATTTTTTATACTTGAAAATTTTACTCCATTTAATTTAGTGCAAAAATACAAAATATTATGAGTTGATGTTAAATAGCTGTGAAGCTATGGCATTTTTGTTGGTCTACATTGCTGCCAGAAAATAAAAACTGTGGTTGCCTTTTTTTTTGCACCAGTCTACAGCAACATTATGATGATGTCAAACAAGATTATGTAATATTTGTTCATGAAATTATTTCTCCATTCAATCTGGTGCAAAAAATTTAAAATATTATGAGTTTATATTAAATAGTTGTGAAGCTATGAGTTTCTAGTAAACACTAAAGTACATGGTGTCTGGGAAAGTGCAAGGGTTAATGGGCATAGTAGTCAGCGGGTTAAACATAAAACTGTTCAGGGAAACTAAACAAAAGAGTAAGCTGTCATGGTTTAGTCATAAGCAATGGTACAGACAATGCTGAGAGGTTAATGAACAAGTCAGCACACATAGGAGGAAGATGATCACACATAATAGTCAGATATGTTGTGACGCAGTGTAAGGACAACACAGTTCACACGATCCATGGGTTTGTTAGCACTGCAAGGCAATGCATGTATTAGGATTTTCTTTCAAAATGACTGGTCACGCACAAAAGTCAGTTATATGGTATGATGCCAGGAAGTGAGGCAATGTTATCATTGTATTTGCCGAACAGTTCTCCAAAAGCACTATTGAAAACCCATATGTGCCTCGTCTCCATCAGCAAAGGTCGGAGCTAGAGTGCTGCTTGTTCCTAGAGCACTCTATAAGGCTATCCTCCGAATAACGGCCACATATTATGGCGGCCAAAAACACACCCTGAAGTTGCCGGAAGTCCGCAATTTACACGTGACTGAGGCCCTGTTTTTGACCGCCATAATATGTGGCTGTTATTCTGAGGATAGCCCATAAATATGCCCCTTATCCCCGCCTGTGTTCACTTCATGGCAGCTACTGATACACCCAATAGTAAATCGTTCAGGTGATTAGCTACCCCTGTGTCTGTAGCAACATGGCTTATGTCTATTTTCATTCTTTGCTCATCCTTACTGTCCCCAGTTTAAGGCCAGGTCCTGTATTTTGTCACTGATGTACCTTAAGAGGGTTGAGAAGCAATGTCACTGATTAGTGTGGGGCAATCTGAGGTCAAGCAGTTAAGCTATTTGTCTTATCAACTAAAGGTCGTGGGTTCAACTACAGATTCTGTGGTGCATGACATGAGTGGAGGTGTTTCAGTTTCAGAGATTCCAATGGCAACTGCTCCGGCACTGTTTTCAGGGACAAACTACTGTGTTGAGAAGGGTCTCAAAGCACTTTGTTTGGGATGACAACACATCTAGTATAGTAAAATTGCAAAAGGCAAAATATCCATCACAATGGCTACATACCGTCAGAACTATTCGAAGCACAGAGAACCAAGGCGGCAGCTCCGCTGATGGCGGCGCTACCGCTGACTCCTATAACAGCAAGTCGAGCTTTGAGTCTGGAAACTGACGAAAGCAACAAGCACGGTTTCTGCGACACAATTCTGAGGCACCGTGGTGTCCGTGTTTCAGTACAAGACAATACTGAATTCCAATGTGACTGAACTCTGTTTAGATGATGTATGCGTACATTAAAAATGCCCAGATGTTTCTTCGACAGCGACGAAAATGTCCCCAGTGTCAGACACAGATGTCTGCTCGCCCTAACGGCCATATTCATTGTTTACAATTTACATCATCTCCACCGTGAGTGTCGTAAGAAATGACAAAACATTGAATATTGCATTGAAAGTAAATATTTGGCCTTACTTAGATTTTAAGAAACTAAAAAATTATAAAAAGTTAAAAACAAATTGTTCACTGCACGACGACATGTTTTATTATTTACTATATATGTTGTCATAAAATACAAGATCTACTAAGGCCTTCTGCGTGACCGTGTCACCGACACCGTACAAGTTCTAAATTGGGATGTCACGTGATCCTGACTTAAAACTCTATTATCTAAATAAACAGTTCCTCTTGAATCATCTCCGTCTTCTAGTGTAGATCCATTCTATGATAATCAGCTCTATTTGATTTGGTTCAAACAAATGACGGAGGCTTCACCTAATATTTCACACAAAACTCCACGACATTACTAACCCGTTCTTATTGCATAAAGACAACTATAAGACCACTTTGGTCACACTTGGAATGTTTTCACATTTCGTATTTTATCCAAAATCAAAAACTGTTTTCAATACCTTTTTGGCAAAGTAAAATACTCCAAATGTTATAACTATACATGGTAGTCCAAATGACGTTATGCCGAAAAGCTTGCTTCCCTACGATATATGCCTGGCCAAATCAGAAGGAGCTGAAACCAAGAAGGGAATATAAATAAAAGGGCAAGACGAACACAGTTGACATTCATTCGCAGTCCGACAGCCCAGTCGCACACAGCTCTCTCTCGCTCGCTCGATTTACCGCCCGATACAGCCACGTGTCTCTCGTTAGCTTGCTAACTATCCATTCGCAGCCAGATTATCAATAGCTAGATACTGGTCAGAACTCGCTTGACATTCGGCTGAGTTTTGGCTCGACTAAGCTATTGTTATTCGTCTGCGGGTGGGTTATTAGCGGCCCGGGAGCACAGCATTGTTGAAAAGCCAGCCTTACCCGCCAGTATTTTGAACGATTGCTAGAGAACTAAGGAGAAAGCACGCTTGGGTGTCCTTTTTAGGATACTCTAACAAGCCTTGCCGACTCCGAAGGGACCTAGCTTTCGCTACAGACCGCATTTGCCCATCATTGATTTTCCTGTCATGGAAAAACAACAAGCAGCCGCACCCACACCAAGAAAGAGGATGGCCACATCAGCAGCGTCACCGGCAGGCGCCCCTATCGCGGCGCCTCGCACACCTACGCCAACTGAAGCCGCCCCTATCGTGGCGCCAGCACCAGAAGCCGCCCCAGTCGTGGCGCAGGAACCTACCGGCACCCGCCTACGTAGATAGCAGCCTGGAGCCCTCAGCAGCAACAACATCATCCAGTGCTCACGTTGTAACAAGGCGTGGCACACAGCCGCACACTGCCGCAACAGCCCAGCATGCCGCTACTGCTTTAAGCCGCACGACTTTAAGGAGTGCCCACTTGCCAAGAAGGACCCCGACTTTAAAAAGCCTAACAGTAGCAGAAGGTGTTCAAACTGTGGAGGGCCCCACAGCGCCAGATACATGGGCTGCACCTACCTAATAAAGTGCAAGCAGCAAGCGGCAATTCCAAGTAGTGAGAGAAGACCAGAGAAAGTGATTCCAGTCGCTAACAACAACGCGACAACCCAGGAAGTGAGAGCACTCAAAACCGCAGTCCAGAAGCTGACAGCAGACAAAGAGAAGGCCACCGCTGAAAGACTTGAGATGCTGGGACTAATCTCCCAAACACTCGAAGAAGTCAAATCCCAGAAGCGAGACAGAATAGCAGAAGCTGCACACCACACCAAGCTGCTAGCAGAAGTAAATGAAGCAAGCAAAAAACTACAAGGCCTTCTGTCACAGCTGAAAACGGAACAGGACCAGGCGGCAGCCCACCGACAAGCCGAGAGAGAAGAAAGAAAGGCAGAGACGGCCTTACTTAACGAAGCCAGAGAGTCCGCGTACAGAGAAGTCGCCCTGCTAGTAAAAACAACAGCAGAAGCAGAAGCAGCTACACGGGAGGCAAAACAAGAACGAGAACTCCTACTAGCAGAGAGAAGCAAGGCACCAGCCGCAAACCCAAACATCAGCAGGGCCGACAAAAGTACAGAAACAGAAACCGATGAGGAAGGCACTGTCCAGCCAGTTGAAGAAGCCGTGTCCAAAGCTACAGAGGCGACCCCAACCGCAGATTAGATCCCAGTCATCACAGAAACCGAACAGTCAGATGGAGAGATCATATCCGACGAAGAAAACACACAAGCGGAGGCGACAGCACTGAGTCCAGAGGCAGAAGAAATTATAATCCCGAAGGACATAAGCGAAGCCGGCCTAAGGGAAATGGTGCAAGTTTTCAACAAACAAGAAAATCTCCCACACAAGATCAAATTTGAAGGCGTCCGCTACATCATCGAATATGACCGGGAAATATATAATAGTGGCAAACTCATATTCAACGAGGAAAGCAAAGCCTACATCTCAAAATTGAACAGGTTCTGGGAACAAGTGAACGACACCCACTATCGAATAAAAGAAACAAAAAGGAGTCAGAGGATTCGGGGAACACCGAACAGGCGCCGATAGACATTAGCCAACCAGAACCGACCAGGCCGCCATGACATACCAAACCACTCCCACCGGACCGGAAAAAACCCACTTGCCAGAGACCAGCCAGGCATCGACAGCCAAGATTGACCACTCCCACCCTTCCCGTCCCAGGCCACCCGGCACATGTGGCTGTCCTTCTCAGGACAGCCATGTCCACACCCTAAACCCGCAAGCCGCCCGCCAAGCTCACGCTGCTAACAAGAACGCAACAAATGCAAGAAAACTCAGGCGAAAACCATCGCCACAAAAGTAAAAAAATCCAGCTCAGATAGCAAATGACTCGTCCTTGAGAAAACAGGTCATCAGGCAGTTAAAAAAGGACTAAGTTTGGAATTTTTGTTTCTTTTCATACGATACGATACAGTTGACATTACGATATGGATGAGCGGTCTGACTTGGAAGAATGAAGCACTAAGCCCAGAGACAGCGCAAATATCAGAACTTTAGCCACGAAAGTGGTGCAAATAAACAAGACCACAAATAAAGCGGAGACTGTTGGCAGCTTCTGATAGTTAGCAGTAGGTTGAACGTGGTTGAGTTTTTGATTTGTTTCTCAAAAGGAATAGGAATAGAATAGGATGTGGTTCTACATTCTTTCTACAGCCTGCCTCTTGGGCGTCTTCTTGATCTGGCACCTTTGATTTAACTATATCTCTGTCGAAAATGACCATACACATTAGGAAATAGCAGAAGCACATATTACTGGTGATAAGATGGGTACAGCAGATCTCTTTTATTATAATATACCGGTTAAAAGGGATACTATTTATAATATTTGACCCACACAAAAAGTCTGCTAACACTGCTGCTGCTGTTGCAACTACATAAAATACTGTGCTAAATATCAAAATCACATATTGGAGATACAGTGGACACTTTTGAGCCATCTAGTGAGAAGGCTGCCAGACCATATGCGACATTTTGCAGTAGAACATCTAGGAGAAAGGCAAGAGGAAAATTAAGAAAGATCTGGATGAATGGTGGAACCGAAACCTGCAAAAAAGAGGAAAAAATCCATCACACGAGCCAACCAAAAAGCGCAAGACAAAAACAGAAAACCGCGACAGTGGGATACACCCTCGTTTCCTTGAACACCCACATAACGAAGGTTAGGGCAGCCATTCGCGAAGTGCTAAATGTTGCAATGCATTCTTGTATGACAAAACCAGTCTGGAAGCATATTATTCGAGTCACAACGGATACACACGAATGCCCTTGTTACAGCCATATTTTCCATTGTAAGGCTGCTGGTTGTAATAGCAAAGGCACCATTCATCTCCTTGATGGTTTTCCACCTTGAGCTTACTGTGAATGTCCATACACTTCGCTTGCGCCGAATTACTGACCCATCTGTATAAGCTATAGCATCACTTTCATTTGTGTTGTCATCAGTCAGTGTTCTGACTAAAGTGTCCACGATGTGACGTGGACTGTAATGGTAATGTTTGGTGCAGGAGGCATGGGTATCCATTCAATTCCAAAATCCCTGTCAGTAAAGCGATAAACATGTTTAATGGCGTTCGCAGCGCGACCAGTCCATGACCCCCCCCCCCCCCTTTTTAAGTCTATTCTTTTTGTTTGAATAATTCCTTATGAACGTTTTTTCCCCTTCAGATATATGCTCCATGCAATGGAAATTCAAGTGAGGAGGATTGAGATAAATTCTTTGAGGATCTGGATGAGGAAATTTGTAAGATAGATAATAATGAGAAGCTGATCGTGATGGGTGATTTTAATGGTAAGACAGGAGGAGACAGAAGAACATTTACAAGATACCTCGGCAATTATGGAGACAACAGCATTAGAAATGTGAATGGCAAAAGACTGTTGGATATATGTGCACAACATGACCTTGTTATTACCAACACCTTTTTTCAACATAGAGCTTCACAAGTTTTACATGGTATAAATGGAATGATCCAGATACCAAGAGTCAGATTGATTACATCTTGACGAGAAAAAGAGACTTTCATCAAGTTACAGATGCGAGAGTTATACCAAACTTGAGTTTAGATACAGATCATAGGATGAAGATACTTTACAGAAAAGTCAAGATAGGTTGCCAAACAAAAAATAAATGTCACGAAAGTGACATAATCAAACAAGAAAGATATGTTTTAAAAGTGACATAATCAAACAAGAAAGAAATGTAACAAATTGACATAATCAAACAAGAAAGAAATGTCATAAAAGTGACATAATTAAATGGAAAGAACTAGAGTGTGCGGAAAATAAGCGAGCTTATCAGCAAAAATTACAGGAAAATATGAACAGCTTCCACAAGAAACAATTGGGGTCAATACAGAATGGATGAATTTCATTGACATCACTATAAAAATAGCACACACAAAATATGTGGAAATAAAAGGAGAGGTAATATTAGAGTGCAAGCTTTCAACATGGTGGTCCGAAGAAATAAGAAGAATTGTTG